AAATCAAGTTACCTAAACTTTAACAAAGCGCACTAAAGTAGAGAGGAATTATTTAAAAAAAAAAAAAAGAAATTAAAGGTGATGTGAGACTTTTGTAGTATGTTCTGGAATGCCGCAATTATCGGAGGGCGGTTCCATTTCATTCAACAAAAGGTTCCGGTGGGAAACGGTCAACGGAGTAATGACTCCATGATCCATTCTTTCTGCCATTCTTTTTCAACCCTCATTTTATTTTTTCTCAAGACCATAAATAAGGCCTGTCAACCACTTCTCTAATATTTTAAAATACAAAAATAATATAATTATAATTTTACATAATATTATAAATTTATAATATGATATATTATTATATAATTATATTTTTTTATTTAAATATCTATTCATAATATTTTATATATTTATTTATTTAATATTATTTTATGATTGTAAATTTACAATCTCAAATGATATTATAATTATAATATTATTGTTTAAAATAATAAAATTTTTTATTTTATCTTTCAATTAAAATTTTATAAATAATTTTTATGATAAGATGGATAATTAAAACTAAAAGATAATTATAAATTTAAATTAAAAATATTTATTTATTTTAAAATCTGAAAAAAAAAACACTACTCCTATTATTTTGAAATAAGTTTCCAATAAAAAAAAAGTTTGTTATGAGACAAAGGGAGTATCTACTAAATAATTAATGGTAATTTTTTTAATAATAAAAGTAAAAGTTATCGTGGTTGAATAGCATATATAACACTATATAAATGATAAGAGAATATTATTTTTAATCATACAACTAAATAATAATAAAGTAGGACTCACATAAAAACAATAGTAAAAAAGTCATAAATAGGACTTACAAATGTGTGTCATATAAATTTCTCATTGATTTTCAAGTAGAGCAATTTAAGTGATGGTGTATTATATTTACCAACAATATTATAGTTATAATGTTAACTATAATTGCAAGTTTACAAGTATAATTTATAGTGTGGATATTCCTAAATGAAAATAATCGATCATAAAATGGCACATCATAATTATAAAATTATAATGTCACATCATATTATACTTATATATATCATTTTTATATACTTAGTAATTAATATTATATTTATAAATTAAAATTTAAGTTTAAATTAATATAATTTTAATTGTTAAATAAAAAATTATTAATTTAAAATTTTTTACTTTCAATATAAAGAGATAATTATTAAATTACTTAAATAGTTGATTATATAATTTTAATTGTTAAATGAAGATAAATAATTTGATATTAAAAACTTTTTTTATTTAATAATTTTTGTTTTATAAATTAATATAATTT